GATTTTACCTGTCCAAACATACAGCTCTTATTATACATATAGTGAGGACCATAGCCAGGCAAACTGAGTCCTCTGATTAAACCTTTGCAAATGAACCTCCGGTCTCTGAAGATGGGAAAGAAACGTGGTTACTCGAAAAGTTAGAGCCCAACAAAACTTTTCCCCGTGAACGCGTCTTCTGTTTTCAACATGCAGCCTAAAAATCACATTTGTCCTTCTATTGATTATGCTGGAGTTTCCCTTTGTAGGGGTCAGCAGATTATTGTGTTAAAATTGTTCATGGTTTTGAAACGTAGGGAGGTAAACCACCAGTCGCCTATATGCCACGGATACTCTCTGGCAAAAGTGTGAGCAACACGTCACAAGCTGTCTAGCTTATGCTTATTAGTCGTTTTATATCTGTTACTAATCGCTAGTGCCAAATGTCAATACGAGAGTGATTGATTATCTAGTTTACGTCCACGAACTTTCTTACCATCATAGGAATTTGAGTTCGACATTTGCTTCCTTTTAGTCTCCGCATTCCCGATTTGATACAGTTGTCGCTGACAGCCTTCCCTGCGATATCCAGCATCCTTGTTGAAGGCGCGCCGCTTAGGTGTCACAAATTTACAGCGTCTAAGCAGCGAGAGCGTACGCAGAGCGCTAAGATCATGGGGCAAAATCTCGGGTTGCAGAAAAAAACAGAGAAGGCACCTGTAGGCGGAATCTTTCGGGCAGAGGACAAACGGTTTTTGTTGTAACGCTGGCATCTGACGTGTGTCACCGTCGAATAACGCCCTGTTAAAATCCCCAAGGAAGAACACAATAATAAGGGCATGGCATTTGAATCCACCCGGAGGAGAGGGTTTATTGTGTACGAAACCCAGAATTGCTGTCTCGGGTGGTAATTGCCGCTGGTTGATCTCCAGCGCGCTCTTTGTCCCGCCTCGGGGCAATCCCCGGCATCGGGGGCAGACTGCGGTGTCCTCTTAGTCCGCGTGTGATGCAACTCCCCAGTCTGCTAGGGACAGTGGCTTATAAGAGATTGTTTGCGCTTTCTCTTGTGGCCTGATTGGCCGCATTGGGATAACTTCAACCAGTTGGCACGTGCATAAGCTCCTAGCATGCGTGCGTGCGCGTCCGGTGTAAGGTCATTGTGTGTGGTCAGTCATCGCCTGTATGCAGCCAGAGCTAACAAACAAGAACACTTGGCTAGGTTCGACGCCCCAGGAAAGCCTCCAAATGTTGCTAGCATTTGGTCCGGCTAAACTCCTAACACTTCCCTCCTTTGAGTTGGGTAGCGTGTTCCTTCGATTGGAATACTCGTGAGCCGGGGAAACCCTCCAGTACCATTGATAGCCGTTTGCACGGTGTGATCACCGGAGGCCTGAAGTAACGGTAACAAGCTGAGAAACATTCATGGCCTTTTTGCGTGATGTGATCATCGGAGGCCTGTTGTAAGAGTAACAACCCGTTATGTCTGTTAATTGTTGTAACGGAAATACACATGGTGGAATGAGCGTCACCCATGCTTGTACTATGCTGCATAATAGTCAGCAATCGATCTGAGAAAATGCGCATGGCGGAATTTGCGTCACCCATGTTTGTGATGTGCTGCATGATAGTCAGTGATTGTTCAATGATGATTGAAATTGTGAGTTCTTCGATGTCACGTTTGGGTAATCATCTGTTAAAGCCCAACAGCCACCTGACATAAATTACGACAAACACAACAAACCTCACTACAAACAAACATACTACTCGTTTGATTTCAATAGAGTTTTTGTTTGCATTAAATATCACCAGACGAATATGTCATACTGGATATACAGTGAACTTTTTGTACGCTGCCATTCCACAAACGCCTCACCTTCTCAACAATTCATATTTCCAAAACATTTTATGCACTTTTGCACAACAAAAGCGATCTGCAACATTTTTTGCATATTTCACAAAAAATGTATGCATTCCTGTACCGTTTCAGTGGAGTTTTTAAGGGCTTCGGTCATTTACTCCAAATATACTGACTGATACTGACTGCCTTCTTCCTAAAACTGTAGGCGAAAACGTACTTTTACTTAAACAGGATGTACAGAGTGCGCAGTTTGTAAACCTTGAATTCGAATGTAGTAGTCAGTAGGTTTCAAAATTAATGGGAAATTTAGAAACTTCTTTAAAACCGAAATATATCCTTCCTTTAAGTATAAAATTTAAAAAGTGCCCAATTTTCTACCAAACAAGTACAAAAAATAAATTTTTCGTTTACTTTCTTTATAAAATATACTTAAATTTAAAAAGACAGTCAAAATCAATGATAACACGCATACTATTTAAGTAGTTACTTAGTGCAGTGCATACGTTTTTTTAGCGGTCAAAAATGAGCTCCTCAAAAAGCCGACATCCTATCATCACTAAAATAACTTCAGAATAGACTATACGATAACCAGTGTCACAACCTTAGTCAATGGGGATTTAACGAAAGAGTATCAATCTTTCGCATATGTCGACACGTTGCACGAATTCTGGCGCGTACTGTAGAGGCCTGCTCCGCCTCTATTAGAGACTTTGCCATTTATTGCTTTGTGTCTTGTTTGCCATTTAAAGTTCCCTTCGTTTATTTAACAGAAAGGTCGCTGCACTGGATAATCAACTTGAATATGAAAGACTGCGGCGAGAGAAGCTGGAAATTTCTCTGGATGAAGCTCGGAAGGAAATTCTGATGTTAAAGTCCGAAATGAAGGTACTTTCTAAGATTTTCCATGTACCCACGCCGCTTAAATTGCCGGCTAGGCTGCTGGAAGTATAAAATACACGCTCCGACAAACGCGTAATGAGGTTTCGCTAAGGCCGTGAACTTGGATTCCACCAGTTAGCTAATTAACTACACCAAATGCAGTTCGCTCCCCGGCAAATTTGTTAAGCTGAGTCCCGTGTTGGTTTACTGCCTGATACCAGGAATAACAGACTGAATAGAATTGATAGCATCGTTTCTTCGCCTGCGATTTTCAAAATTACATTTTGATCAATGATAAAAAGGGCAGAGAGAACCCCCAACTCTGCAGTTATCGTTATATTTCAGTCAATATTTGGTGGGGGAAAATGTAAACCTTTTTTAATTGTGGACTCTCGGTACTTAACTCACACTTTATCCAGTCTCTAGAACACCACATGCATAACTCAAACAGAGGTATCTGGAAGTAAAGTATCTGCAGCTGTGTACCCCAGCTCGGATCGAAACGAGGCTGCTGGGCTAGTGTGAACCATGTGTTCGCGAGTACAATGAGTTACTTCTGAGTATTTAATGTTGTCAGAACGGAACCGCCTGTTTGGATGATCTGGAGGTGCAATGCATCTTAATCAACGATCGCTTCAGAAGTGTCGACCCGGAGACAGTCTGAAATAAAAGTGCTAATTAGGTTGACGGCGGTTTAGTCAATACTGGGATAATGATATCGGATTGGACAGTGTCCTTGCCTGAAGCGACCAAATAATTGAATAAGGACAGCTTTGCTTATAGAGCTCTGCAGATTTCAAAGAGGTAACCTTCAAAACCGTATCCGAAAACCAGCCGGTGAAAGGGACACTTAGACAAGTAGATTTTGGGAAGTGTTAATAGAATCGTAAAGAAATTGTCACAGACAGTCCGGGTGATTTAAGTGAGATGACATTCAAGCTGAAAGGACAAAAAGGCACGTTCAGAAGGCAACAGATTGTCAAAAATAAGATGCCAGAGGTTCCCTCTGGCCCCATTCTGCTCCTATTTGTCTCAGTATACACATCTGTACTAATCTTTTTTCTAGTAAACAGCATTTTTCGCCTCAACTCAATGAACAAAAAAATAACCCCAGATTTGTCTTTGATAACCCACTCAAATGTTGATCTTCCCATTTCATCAGATATTCAATCTGCTGGATACTAGTTCTAACACTGGCGAAGAATCGGTATGAATGATCGCCACTATTGACATTAAAGCGTTCACAAAACTAGAAATTGCGGTAGGACTGTCTTGTGAGGCAGCTTAAAAAAAATTCCGCCTGCATAGGGCTGGCTGAAAAAAATTTCGCTAGTATAAGGTCGAATTTCCGTTAATAGGAATTGTCTGCTATTCTTATTGGTCAATAGGCATCAGTTGCCTAAGCAACAGGAGTTTAGGCTGGTTGATTTGATTATATTTAGCTCACTAAAATAATTACAAGTGGCTTTAATTTACTTTTCACTGTTCACTTTCCCTGCAATTAAACATGCATTTACACTCCTTAATTCAGTATTTAACCTTTAACTACGAATTCCGTCAGACATTTGGGCGCGGGGAGTTTATTTTCAGGCGGCATCACAGGCCTGTCCTACCAAAACTGCCAAATTAAATAACAATACCAGGCTAGAATCCTTTGAGCCAGCCCTCAGCAGAACACGACTGATGGCCGGCCTACGAGTTAGAAGTGTGTGAAGACAATTGCTTTTTAGGATGTTTTAATTACTTCACTCATTTTGATTGCTTGGGTACTCATTTTTGGTTATTCTCCTCTTTCAGGGCAGCACTTGCGTTTTGGAGTCCCCGCTCCGAAGCACAAAGTTTGATGAGCGGGCTAATAGGCTGGAAAAGGTGTCAATGCTCGCAAAACAATACAAAGCAAAGCGGTATTAATGAACTGTAAAACTTCGATAGAAAGCAAGTACGTAAGGAGATCATGCTTTTTTCTTCGTGCATATAATGATGGCCTTCCATAATGATTATCGATTAAATAATTAGAATCGAGAGTTGGCGTTGTTAGCCCATTCAGCCAGAGGACTACTGAATGGGAGAATACGGACAAAAAATGTATTTGAAATAGCCCGCGAAGCAAGTTAAGGATGAAACTGGTTCAAAATGCAAGGCCAGAGAATGTTGTCATCATTAAACTGACTTCCCAGTTCTTTTTCCTGATTTCTGTTTCTAACACATTAGGTGATCCAGAAAAGGGTGCGGCTCTATGCGCTGTCAATAATTAACCTGAAAGATAACCAAAAGAGGATAGCTGTGCCTTCTTCAAAATCTGGGTTTGAAGTGAATAAAGATGTTCATCGTTTAAAATATCGCTTGGAATCAGAGAGCCGTTTGAAAGAAGAGTCGAAGTGCGAGGGTCTTCCTTAAAAATGAACACTGTTAGAACGAAAAGTAATTCAAACATAAAGAATTCAAATGTGGGTAGGGGTACATAATTCTTATTTATTATAATAGCCAAACCTAAAAAGTATATACGAAATTCCCGTTCGTGTTTTCTTCATGAAGTTGAGACTAAACCCTGTGAAGAATGCTGAAGCAGATGACCTTGATCGCTCAATTGCGCGGCTCTGGAAAACTAGAACATTAACCGAGCTTTAATAAACGTTTACCAAGAGTATTTGAGGTCCCGTGAACTTCGAGCTTAATGAATAGTTTCGAATCCATTTTGTTTGAAACTTCTGTTCATTCTTTTGAATAACTTACTTTATTTAACTTAATTTAATCAGTATCCTTTTTATTATTTCAGTGTGGACCGCGAATGTTTTGGAAAATTCGCACTTGGAAGCTAGCATACCGCGCCAATGAATCCTGCGTAGACCACGTTTGATGCCCAGCACTTACTCATCTGTTAACTACCATTTGGAGAATAAATACCATGATATCCTAACACTTCAGCCTCTAGGTTTGGTGGCTAGTTTTGCACTCTTGCTACTAATAAAATCAACATCATCGCAAAGAAGGAGACTCCTACAGAGACGGGTACACTGTCGAACGCAAGGCCATACCTTTAGTAAAAACATTAATGCGCCTGGACGTTGCTATTCGATCTGATATTTAGCAGTAGAATCGCAGTGATTGGAATGACCTGTTTCATTAGTCTAACGGAGACATGATGGCGCGTACTCTGCTTTTGAATACTATTTTGTCCACCAAGTACTTGTCTGAATTTAAAGCTGAATTAAGAGGCTGGGAATACCGGACAAAAGTCAGCTCATGAGAATACAAACATTTTTTCCTTCTTCTTCCTCTTCTTCTTTTTTTCTTCTCGTTATTCTACGTTCTGGATCTTCTCAGTCGTCCTATCATTTTCACAGCCAGCTGGTAAGACCAACGATACCGTGGATATTTGAGCTGTTTCTGAAGTATTATGTCAGATGCCTCACGTATCCATAAAACGGTGTTTTTCACTTCTACAAAGCAAATGTCTGACAAATACGACCCTAAAAATAGTTCGGATGCAACACCTTCTGAGATTGGCGTCGTGAACGTTACAACTTCAGCGTTGAGTAGATGTTTCGCAAGCGAGTGTACGCAAACTTCCCAAGTTACTGGTGTATTCATATTAATGGCTGAATAAAGGCCAGTATTTAATCTGCCTTAAGTAGGGTGGTCAACGCTGTGGGTCTGTACATTTTAAAATTTGCGAAAATATATCTCACGTCTACCTTGCAGTAGCAGTTCACTAAGCAGTTTCAAAAGTGAGGCGTCAGATTGATAGGCCGACTGTTCGATGAGCTAAGTCCAGCAGCGTTCACTTTGACTTATCTGACTCTATTTCTGATTATGTATTTGAGCAAGAATCCGAAACGCCAGGCCAGTAAAGCTCTTGCTCCAGCGATAGTGGGGCAACCTTTCGCTGCACCGGCCTCATTATTTCCTGCCTCACACCAGCTGCTCTCCGATGAAAGAACGCAGTCAAAACCAGCAGTGATGGGCGTAGGCTAAGATTAACAGCCGATACTCATATAGTGATAGAGCAGCCTTTTGAGTAAGGAAATTTGGCTACGGTGGCAAGAAGGGCTGCCTAATATTTTTGGCAGTATTCTCATGTGTCTAGGTAGCGGTGTCAAATAGAGGTTTTGTGGTTAGGTCATATGATGGGAAGGAAAAACTAAAACTTTAAATTTTAGCGTATAAATGCAGAAAATAAAAGGAAATAGTCATTTAAATAGCCAGAAATTTGCGCGTGATAATTAAAATGATAAATACAACAAGAAGAAACAAGATCTGCGCAAAGTGTACTTGCAACTAGGCTACAAGTCAGTGTAGGCTCTATATCCAAATTTACAGATTAAAATAAGACAATGAAATATAGGTAGCTTCTCATGCATTTGAACAGATATTTTAGAATGATAAGCCGACAGGGAACTGTATGTTGTTTAAAAAATTAAATTGAATTAAAAACTAAGCTAACTAAATCTATAATAAAATAAAAACAAACAAAATAAAGAATAAACTAAAAGCTGGGCTAATAAAATTAAAAGTAACCACAGGAAGCTAAAGGTTTCCGCGTTTTTGAGTGCCCTAATAAGCATAACTACGCCTACTAAAGTACAAATGGTAGGTAGGTTGTATGACCAGCCATCTGCCAGGTAGGTCTGAACGCCTGATGTGTCTGAGAAGTTGTGGTGGTGAGTGAAGCTTTGGCTGCGGGATGAGTGCTCTGTCGGCTGCCGCCAATCAGATGAGGCAGAAGTATCGATT